GCTATGCAATGTTAGCACTGGTAGGTGTGGAAACATGATTCACAAGATAAACCTAATCATTTCAAATACGAATCCAGGGTGCTAAAAAAAATTCAAACCTGTTGTGGTCTTTGCACAGAAAAATTGTGGCATTATTTTTCTATAATCAACAAATGAATGAAAACTAAAAACTGGCATTTTCCAAAAAAGGGTGAGAATCACTGATTTACACTAAGGGTTTTTGCCAGCACAGTTATGTTGGTTATAAATCACACCTCACTGGACCCCTGACATAGCTATGCAGGCAGAAGTTTGTAATGCAGAATTGGCCTACTTGACAAGATCCATAGGAGTTGGCTTTAGCCTTTCAGTGACAGCTTGATCTTTCTTGAGAAGAATGTTGGTGGGCCCTGCCAATGATCTCCTTCCCCAGATTTCTGGGTTTTGAAGCTGTCAATCATTAAAGTAGATACCAAGAGCAGTTGTTCTCAAACTTTTGGAATTAAGGCACCCCCGCCCAAAAAAGACTCAAGCCCCCCCTGCATAGACTTAAGGCACCCTTAGAAAATGTCAGTTTTTAGTCTTCACTTGTTTTTTTACAACAGAACAACTATACAGCATTCTGTTGCAAAGAACTTAGAAAAAACTGCAACAGGTCAGAACATTTTTTACACTAGAGTCCTATTTGAAATCTTTGTTTTTATCATGTGAATCATATTTGCACACTTAACAGTGATAACATTACGTGGAACGCCACAGCATCCCTGAAAGGATCTCAAACTGCCCCAGAATGCCAGCAGCACCCTGGCAGAGAATTACTGACTTAGAGTATGAATATTTCCTGCTCTCTCACCAATAAATTATGATTTTCTTTGAACTTAAAAGGTAACCCTAAAAGGATGTTTGTTTCTTTATTTCAGATCAGAGAACACAGACGTTTTCTTTTTTTCCTAATACTATTTTTCAAACAAATGTTCATTAGTGGAAATGTAAACTGTCATCTTTTGATAGGAGCAAAATGGATCTCTTAGCAAGAGTCAGATTGTAAGGAAGAGGAGGACAGTGAAATGAAAGATAATTTAATTACAACTGAAATGTAACAAATGAACAGGGATCCAGGTTTTCCACTTGGCGCAGAAAAAAACAGATTTTCTCCTTTAAAGGACTCATACTGTAGTTAGGCCATCTTCTTTCAGTTCTACCAGACCTACATGAAAAGGTTCCATACACATGTCTATACAACTGCTCTCAGCCAGGGGCAGAAAGCATCTCGTGACTCTGGTCAGAGCATAGCAACCCCTCTCTCAGTGACTCGTTTTCGCCCTGAAAATATACTCAATGGAGGTGCCAAAGCACAAGCTATGTCTGCCGGGCTTGGAGCAGCAGCCAGATACATCCCTAAGCCGTGGCCCCAACTGGACCCAGAAAGAACTGGCAGATTTGACTGATATTTGGGGGGGGGGAACAAAAGGTTCTGGAGCAGATTGAAAAATCGATGAAATAAGCCAGTCTATGTGACCACTGCCCAGGAAATGAAGGTCTGTGGCTACAACCAAGACTGGGCACAGTGCCGCACAAGATGAAGGCCCTGAAATGTGCTTTCCATCAAGCCAAAGACCAGAATTCTCGTTCAGGGGCAGGACGCACAATAGCCCCCATTCTATGAGCAGCTGTCCTGCATTCTCGCGAAGGACACAGGCGACGCTTGCCTCCAACCCTTTGGGACGATGGGGGTGCAGGAAGCTACAGTTTCACTTAGTCCATGAACACTGCATGCCCTGAGAGGCTGGGGGGCCACTGCGAGCTCCCGCAGGCAGCAATGGCACTGTCAGCAGTGGGAGCATGGTGGAGGCAAGTGGGGAGCTGCTACAGGCAGCCGCAGAGCTGTTGGCGGCAGGAGTGGGGTGGTGGTGAGCACCAACCAGTGGTTGGCGACCACCCGCAGACACCGCCAGCAGCAATCACAGACTGCCTGTAGACACCGCTGGTGGTGTCAGTGGTGGCAAGTGGCGACCACCTGCAGGCACCACCGACAGTGTTGGTGGCACCTTTTCGCAGGGCGTGCACTGCCACACTCTGGGGGTACATGTGCACCCGCGTACACCCCCTATGCCTTGCCAATGACCTAGCCCACAAGAATCCACAGACTATCCTGTCACTGCACTGGGCAGTACAATATGCACTGCACAGACTTCAAGCAACCAATCAGAGGCAGGGGGCAAGTGCTCACAACAGCTGAATGATGGGGACAGCTAAGACGAAGCTGTCTTAACGATTACCCCACTCTCCCCAGGGCCTCACTTGCATAACCCAGAGGAGGAGGATGCATCGGATTCCACAAAGTTACTGTCCACAGAATTGTGGGACACACCAGAAATTCCAGACACCCAAAGATCGATGTCAGTGCCAGAGATGCCTGAGGATCCACACTAGGGGATTTGTAAGTTAGGGGGAAGGGGCATTAGATCAGTTTGGGTGACTAGGGCTTACGTGGATCTAGTCCCACTTTTGTGCCAAGGCCAAGTGTGGCGAGGCAGGAGGGAGGGCGTTAATTTTGTAAGCAGCAAATATGTCCACTGCTTGCAGTCACACAGTGTTTCACTTACATGGGGGTGGATGTGCTGTGCCCCTCTTAAAGTTGCTTGGTGGGGGAGCATTAATTTGTTTAGCA